AGCAATCAAATCATTACTTTCTTGACATTTCTGAACAATAAAATAACTAGATTTATTGTATTTATTCACATAGCATTTTTATTATTTTATGCTTAATATTTAGCTATAATATTAAACAATAGTTTATTTTGTTATATCAGTTATAATTTATACAAATATGAATTATAAATCTTTATAACTTACGTTATTTTCCCGATGTAATATATTCCTAATTAAAATGCCACATTATTTCATAATAGTAGGTATAACATGATATTACAAGAACTAACAGAATTGTTAATATGATAAATAGCGCTAAAATATCGGATACTCGATCAAAAATAAGGTACATGATTGTATTCCCATAGATAACTATAATTCGAATGTTAATAACCATCAAAATTTAAAACAACATATAATAATAATTAGTTAATAAAATTAAACGATATGAATGAATTAATAAACAAAATGTTAAAATCGATTAGCTTACGAGCTTTAAGTTCCCAGAACAAAGCACGACTACTCTTGGAAATATCACTAATATGGCTTCTGAACCCTCGTAAATAATTTTCCCAGAACACCTCACGTAACCGTTTTACGAAGACCCGTCAAATCTAATATCCTATCCGCAAATACGTTGCTTATAAAAGAGGGAGCGAAAACTTACGGCTCTAGTCATTTTAGCAACACGTGCTGTTGTTATATGCGCTGTGTGAATTAGTGTGGTACGTATCGCGTTAAATCGTTTATTATTGCTTAGGTCGGTAATGCTATTCATTTTCATAATATATGCTATTAGATAGAAAACGTTTGTGTTGAACTATTCACAAAAAATGTAGGTGTGGTATTATTTGTAGGATTGACCTACTTCAAAAGCTTAATAGTTTTATTATAAGAACCTACATAGATCTTGGTCAGAAATTCAACTTTAAACATCGATCGTCTAAGTTCGATATTTTAAGTTGAATTCTCGAAATTGCAAATTTCGTTCATTTCGTCGAACGCATTAGTTACCTTAGTATTACTTAGAAAATCTACTTTAGACATTTTAGGGAATTCTATTTCTATATTTTTGATCTGATCAATTATTTTCAACTTACCGTTTACTAGAAATATTTTGAACTTAAAGGTGAATCTGTGATTTAGTTTTATAAAAAAGGTTGTGAATAATAAATAATATTGGATAAATTTTCAATTCATAATGCTATATTGATGTTTATCTTGTAGAAAAATACTCAAAATAAATTTAACAATCTTGCTTAAGCTCGGTTAGCTCAATTGATACAGCAGTTACCGTTAAAAGTATATTAAGTGTTTTTCTAAAGATCTGAATTAAAAGAAAATGAATAAAAGTGTGTTGCATTTCCAAACGTCATCGTCTTTCTATTCACCGAAAATATGTTACTATGTTATAATGTCAATACAGTACAGTCGGCAGCCTCCATCCCCTTTATTGTGAATATAACAATAAATTTTGATTATTATGTTTAGAAAGAAAGAGACGACCATCACATAAGTAAAGATTCAATCAAATAATAAAGCCTTTGAAGTTTGAAGTTTTATTGTTTAAAATAATAATACCATGAAAGTTATTTGAATTTATTTGAATGATTGCTAATACTTGTGGTAGTTCGTATATTGGCCAAACATACGAACAATAACTTACCGAATGAAGGCACACATCAAAGTAACCAGGGATAACAACACACAAAAATTTGCCATTGCGAAACATTTGATTGATTTGGGACCTAACCATTGGATCGAGCTCCATAATCCACAGATTGTTTTAACTGAACACCACTACATACCAAGAATGATCAGGGAAGCGATTGAAATAACAAAACTTAAGAATTTCAATCGTAAGGATGGGTTGAAATCATCGAGTGTCTGAAATCCAGTGGTTTGTATTTGTCAAAACCAGATGATAAATAAAATAAAATGTCGTTTCGCGATCGGTTACAGTGAATGTTGTGTGTCGTGAACAGGTGCGAGTTAGTGGTGACATAGTGAACAATGGTATGGGCATCGAACGTAAAAGGACTAGAAAGAAGGTAGATAGATATATCTACAAATAACACCTACCCGCATAAACTTCAGTTCTTCAGCGTCGAAATATCGGGAACTTGTAAAATATGAGGTTCATAGTAGCAATCCCGTTTTTAGTAATCATTCAAATTTGAAGAAAGTTTTATTTCTTTGAACCTCTTTGCTGTGATAGCGCTGTGATCGACGTCGAGTACTAGGTATATTTTATTGCAGAATAGCATTGTAGTTCTATCCCCTAAACATATAGAATATAGAAAAATATATTGAGCATTATATAATTTCATTGAAACTAATACATTTTTTTATTTAGTATTTTAATTTAATTTTCCTTTATTTACACCAAACACAAATACTTTTAGATTTAATATAACAAGGGTTCACCTCATTAGATATTTTTTAAATTATTCTAATTTTCACTTTCAAAAGTGTTGAGCAGAACGTGACTTTTGTGCGATTTAATAGAAAAAAAAACTGAAGCGAGTCGACATCTATCAATTTATATGTAAAACATAGCGAAGTATAAACTCATTCCAAGCAAAGTGGGAGTTACTGTCCCGCCTGCACGTCACAGGAACGGCGAAATATATCTTTTGTTTATAGGGTTATCACTTCTATAAAGTTATACATTATTATTATTAAAGTGCCTAACTATATTTTTCGATGCATAAATTACTTTGGTGTTTTAGTTTTTAAACTAAATAATTTATTTATTTGGACAACCAACAAGATCATACACTCAACATGCTTAAGTTTACAAACCGAAGCAAAAAAAAAATATAATCACAAAAAATACAGATCCCCAAATTTTGTAACATTAATTTTGACTACAGGTTTTTCTGTCGCAAATCAATATTATACTTTGACAAAATAAAAAAAAATGCAGCAACTTTTGAGGCTTTTCATGCAAGAAATTCTTAAAATCGGTTTAAGGTAAGCATGCCTAATATTAATATTATATAATAAACGAGACGAGACCAACAAACCTATTAACTAGAGAGGAACAGAGGACGACATATAGCTCGATCAAAATTAAGTTCCTTCCTAAATAAATCAGTTATGTTTTTCTATAGGTAACTGAAAATATGACTAATTCTTAGAAATATAAAAACTGTAAGAACAGAGTTTGGTTTTTCTAAAGCAAGTACCTATGAAACCATTTTAAATCTAAGATGTCTTACGAAATAAAATGGCAGATTATAGAGTTTTCATAAGACATTCATTTATAACGTTAGCAATTATATGCACATTGGATTCATCATCATTACGCATAAAACATGGAATACGTTTTTGTCAACCCTATCGGAACCTTACAAACGCGCTAGCCATCCTCCGCCAATGAATTAGCCAATAAAACCAAATTGAAGGAAATAAATTTGCCATTATGGCTGTTTTTCTATTTGCCTTAAATTTGAGAGACGCCTTTGAAAAGTATTTTGTCGTGTTACTCCATCACGAACTGTTCGAGACCTGTTCGATGTATATCAGATAGAGCTCCCTCATCCAAACTTTTATGACCCCATTTCAATAACCTTAACAGTGCTCGTTTACGGTTTTAGTTCGGAAAATTTTATGTCAACTCTTCATGGAATGGAATTGGTTACTTTGTACCGAAAAGTAGAAATACAATTTTCATAATGTTCTCCTACTAAATATGCATATAACGACAGCGCAACTCGATTATACGAATGTCGATCAATCGAAGAACTGATTCTCCGAACTATTAAGACTCGCCCGAGTAGACGTAACTTGAAATTTTATTAAAATTTGATTATACGAATTTAGTAGGTATAATTACTAAGTATGAGCGGTGCTTCATTATATTATTTTCAAGATATTTAATTATTCACACAAAGTTTAGCAAATATAATATCAAGAAAACTGCAATTGTCTGTCAATAGAAGCATCCGACGTCTGGTAGATGGCGTCGTCTATAGTAAAATATAATATTTTTTAGCAACAATATAGTCGATACAAAAAAAAATGGAAACAACACGTTTAATTTAAAACAAGAAACAAGTACCGATCAGAAGAGATCGATTTCAAAATCAATCATTCAAAATCCTATTCAACTACCTTTATCGGATAACAAATTAGACGGAATCGTCTGAAGCGTTAGGTTGCCAACTAAATACATCAATTACCGTCACCAGGGAACTCGGCAGTAATTACATTAAATTATTTTCATTGAGACGCCTGTGATTACACTAAGTTAAATTGCTACCAGTTAATTAGATTCTTGATCATTTGTTATTTGGTTGCGCTGTTCGTCTTGTGTTTGTTACAATAGCGGCACAATGACTGTTATGTTACACTTTGATGGAGTAGTGTCCGCCTTTTTTGTGTAGTAGGCATCTAAGGCCGTTTTAGCCTACAAGTACAGAGAGCTTAATAGGTTAGTTTTAGGTGAACGTCCATATCTCAGCACGCACGCAACGGCTTATATTAAAATTTCCTATGACGTCATCAGCATAACTCGGCATCAGAATATCGGCTGCCGTTCCCCATAATATAATGCCATAGGACATGATACTGTGACGTCACGTCACGAGTGACGTCACGAACGGTAACACGGTCGGTCTGTGCTGGAGTAGTCGTTACAGTAAAAATCGTAAACTCCGTATTTCTCTGTGGAAACCGCTTCAGTGTGTGCTATAGCGGCCGATGCATTCGTAATAGTGTTTGTGTCGCTGTTTGTGTTGTGACTGTGTGCTATCGATGTTAATATAGCAGCTATCTTAGGTCTCGTTTTGTCTGTGTGTGGGTAATCTGACATTGATACTACGAGTGACTAGTGTCACCATCTATCACCAATACAGCGTACTACTTGTATGACAAATACATCGATAAAACGCGCTACGAGTGGTGGTGCCATCTTGCGGTTCAGACGGCTGCTGCCATCTATCGTTATCGAGGTGAACTTTTAGGACGTTCGATTTGCCTATAAAGCGTATCGTATCGGCGTTCATCTATTAAGCATGGCAAAGTGTACGGCTTGCGGTAAATTTTTATCGCCGTCAGGTGCCACTAGTTGCACTACATGTACGGGTATATTTCATAAAGCTTGTGTAGCGATACCCGATACTGTTACTGTTGCTAAGGGCTGGGTATGCCCGGAATGCACGAACAAGAGAGTCAGGAAGGGAGACAATAGCAACACGCCCGTAAAGAATATTTGTGAAGCCGCTGACGGTGCCAAGGTGCCACTCGCTACGCATGCCGCACCCATTCCATCCGATGCAGAGTCTGAAATAGGTATGATGCGACTCGAGATTAAGGCATGCATGACTGAACTCCGGGAATACATGAAGGAGTTTCGGTTGTCTATGCAGAATATGGACGAGCGGATGGGGGCCTTCGATCATAGACTGAGCGAGGTCGAACGTAGGCAGGCTCAGGCGCCGCCGGCTGCGGATGAACTCGTGGAGTTGCGACGGACAGTGGAAAGTCTCAAGGTGGAACTAAACGGTCGAGATCAGGACGCGCTGTTGTCTGATCTAGATATAGGACACATTCCAGAAGAGAAAGGCGTCAGTCCTGTCCATACCGTGACCGTTTTAGCTACTAAGCTGGGTGTTTCGCTGGAGGCTCGAGATGTCGTTTTCGCGGAGCGTGTCGGTGCGGTCGAGGCGCGTGCGGCGGGCGGCGGCGGCGCGGCGGCGCGGCCGCGGCGGCTGGTCGTGCGGCTGGCGCGCCGCGACCTGCGCGACGAGCTGCTGCGCGCTGCGCGTGTGCGCCGGAACGTCACAACGACGGACATCGGCTTGGAGGGTGTTCCGCGGCGCATCTATATCAATGAGCGGTTGACGGGTTACAACCGTCGTCTGTTTCATCGAGTCCGCGAAGAGTGTCGAAAACGTCAATGGCGATACACGTGGACCAAGAGGGGGCGGATCTTCGCTCGACAGGACGACGGCAAGCGTGTGCACAGCTTTCGGACGGACACCGATGTAGACTGTGTTTTTGGCATCGATGCCGTTTTACGCGATGAGTGATCACTTGAGCTCTGTAAGATATAATACGTGTTGTTTTATGTTGATGAAGGGACTGGGTAACGAAAAGACGGGCTTATATGAAAGAAATATATTGATAAGACATAGACTATTACAATATTTACATCAAAAACTATTCTACGAAATACATAATAGCGATCGCAAATTGGATAGGCACTCTCATTTTTTGGTATTACACTTTATAATTTCTAGTCTTATGATCTATTATATACATATACATATACATACATTATATACATATTATATACATATTATATACATATTATATACTATATATTATATACATACAATGTTATCACTGACAAATGATTAAGGGAAGAGTAAAAATTGGACTATATAATGCGGGTTCCCTCGGAACTAATCACGACAACTTTGTGGCCGCAGTGACGCGGCATGACATAGATGTACTGGCAATAAATGAGACATGGCTAAAAGAGAACGAGGAGGGCCGTGCGCCTGCGCTCCCGGGATACCGATTGCGGCATATCCCGCGCCCTCGAAATTTGCGTACACGTGGGGGAGGTGTAGGCTTCTATATCAAGCGAGGCGTTAATTTGCGAGTATGGCCTCATCCGGTGGACCCTTTACACAGAATAGTTGAACAAATGTGGCTCGCCTTGACCCTTAACGGAAGGAAGTTAATTATAGGTACTGCATACCGGCCACCCTGGGTGAGCATTGATTTGTTTTTTGACGCGATATCAGACACTATCAGTTCGATTCCCAACTGTGACAATCTGGTGTTGCTGGGTGATTTCAATATCAACTTATTACAAAGTCATAGCACCGAAACAATGAAATTCAATAACTTTTTAACATGTTTCCACTTAACACAGCTGATTTCTGGCCCAACACACTTCACTGCAAATAGCCAGACATTAATTGATGTTGTGTGTACAGATTCCAATATTAAAAACATAATCTCTGACCATGTGGGGTTGCTGTTTGGTCATTGCATGTTGGTTTGCGAACTTAACATCAAGCGAGAAAAAAATCCTCCACGAATCATAAAATATAGACCAATGAATAACATCAGTATGGATGTGATTGGTGAACAATTAAATAATATGAAGGGAATGTGGGATCATATTAGGTATCTGAACAGTGTTGATGAAATGGTTAATATGTTTGGTGCATATATGCTTACTATTTTTGATCACTTTGCGCCAGAGAAATCTATTGTCGTCAGAGAATGCTGTCCTCCTTGGATAACAGACACGGTCAAACTAATGATGAAGCTCCGGGATGAATCCTTAGTCAACTATCACAAAAAAAGACCAAACTGTTCAATTGATTACTACAAATCTCTGAAATCATTAGTTAATCAAGCATTATTTAACGAAAAAACAGCCTATTTTAAATATAACATAAATAGTAAAATAAATGACCCAAAACTATTATGGAAAAATCTCAAGAACACTATTTTACCCCAGAAAAATTGTAATTTACCAGCATGTTTCAATAATCCAACTGCTATAAATAATCATTTTATGAAAGTTTTGGGTCCATCAGAAGTGACTATTTCATTAATGACTTTTTATGAGTATAATAGATTCACTGACTCTATATTTCATTTAGAACCCATCAGTTTGGATCAAACCATAAAAATAATTAATAGCTTAAAGTCCAATGCACTGGGAAGTGATTCCATAAGCTTGGATATGATTATGAAGACCCTACCACATACACTGGATGTAATCAGAGATATTATAAACAAGTCTATCACTACCTGTACATATCCAGATATGTGGAAACAGGCAATAGTACTTCCTTTACCTAAAACCACTAACCCGGTAGATGTTAAGGACCTGAGGCCAATCAGTATACTGCCATGCTTGTCTAAGATCTTAGAGAAGGCAGTATGTATGCAACTGGTTGAGTACTTAGAGAAAAATAATATTTTACCTCAGGTACAGTCAGGATTCAGGAAAGGTCATGGCACAACCACTGCCCTACTTGATGTTATTGATAATATACTGCATGCACAGGATAAAGGCATGTGTACGTTGCTTGTTTTACTCGATTTCTCCAGGGCTTTTGATTCAATAAATATAAACCTCCTTTTATCCAAATTAAGATATTATGGTTTTGGCCATGACGCAGTGAAGTGGTTTGACAGCTACCTTAGTAATCGCTCCCAATATGTGAAATTGAACGGAGACGGTTCTTCTATGGAATCTGAAAAAGTGTCCATATGTAGGGGTGTGCCACAAGGTTCGGTCTTAGGGCCGATCCTCTATGTTTTATACTCAGCTGATATAACATCACAAATTAAAAACTCCAAATGTCATATGTATGCTGATGATACTCAAATATATATATCCTCTAAACCAGAACACATTAACAATGCAATAGGGAAACTTAATGACGATTTAGAAAATGTTCACAAATGGTCTAATGAAAATTGTTTATTATTAAACCCCACTAAAACAAAGTACATGATCTTTGGTACCAAATGTCAGATGTCCAAACTAAGTATCAACACATCGGTCAAGTTAAATAACAATCCAATTGAAAGAGTATATGAAGCACGTAATCTGGGTTTGATTATGGATTGTAATCTGCGGTTTGAAAAGCATATTAATAGTTGCATACAAAATTGTTTTTACAAACTAAAGGTGTTATATAGGGTTAGGCGGTTTCTGTGCGAGAGATTGCGGGTGCAGTTAGTGGAGTCGCTTGTTTTATCGAAACTGAATTATATGGATACAGTGTATGGTCCACGTTTACTTAATAGAACAAAAAAATTAATACAGCGTATTCAAAATGCATGTGCTAGATTCTGCTTCTACATTCCGTTGAGGGCCCATGTGACGCCATTTTTAAATGCGCACTCTATACTCAAGATGCGACATCGTCGAAAACTTCATTTAGCATGTTTATTGTTTGACATAATAAAGAATGAGGCACCTGCTTATCTGTTTAACAAGTTATCTTTTAAGTCTAGTTGCAAGGCATATGGAGTCCGAAGAGTCTGTGCGCAGTTGTCCACCGAACGTCATGCTTCTGCTGCCTTTCGAGGTAGCTTCCGCTATGCGGCCACAAAGTGTTGGAATAATATACCGCCACCTCTGAGAAACCTGCAAAGTGTTAAGACTTTTAGGCGCAAGCTAACATATTACATAAACCAACATCAAAAAACACAGGAAACTCAAGCTCACGAAACTAGTGTATTTTAAAGATATGCGTACCTTAAATTTTCGTCTCTTTATGTGAATATGGCTTTTTGAACATTTTGCTCTGCTCCTGTTTCTCCGCATTAAGTTTGCAATCCATTTGTCAGAGTTAATAATGTTTTGTGTTTTCGGTAATGAGTTGTGATTAGACCTCTGAAGCGATCTTATAACTCGCTTTTATAACGCGTTTATAATTTGTCACACGTAAAGTATTGTTGTTGTAGAAAAGTTTTTGTATCAATCACAAGTGTCTCCTTCTTCTGATAGTGGCTTGTCTGCTCCGCACAGTTCTACTAATGTCAGGTGATTTGATTGTTTGAAGTTGAAGTTTCATATTTATAACTAGGATTAATAGAATGTTCAATAAAATCACAAAGTACTTTGATTAAAATGTTAAAGCGTCAATGTCATAGACCACAGACTGCCACATATTAAGGTTTAGTTACTACCATAGATACTAATGTGTTCATCTATGGATTAGGCGTAGAGATAGCTCAAAGAGAACAGTAATAATACGGAAAAATAGCTTTTACCATACAGCCGGACTTTCGATACGGCTACATATTTGTATTTTTATGTCACTGTATTTTTGTTATGTGTTACTGTTTGTGTTTTTTCACCGGATCGGTTTCAGCGGAAGATCAGCGCTGATCACAAGACCAGCATATGCTGAGCTGGAACCGTTTTGGGACAGAGATTTAGTCGTGTCCATGTGATTGTATTGCTTATGTTTTAGTTTTGTCCCAAATAAATGGATTTTATTTTTTTTTTTTTTATTTAAAATAACTAAATTACACTGTCCGGGCAGTTTCTATATCGGTAATTTGTCTTATTTTTCGTATGGCATATGCAGCCGAGCTATGTTTACCAGCTAATATAGAAATATGCGGATTCCATTGCAGTTTTGAATCTAGTGTTATGCCCAAAAATTTTGTTGAACATACTAACTCTAAATGTTCGTTGTTGAGTTTAATTTCAGTTAGTTCTACTTTTACATTAGGTAAAGTGAATTTTATACATTTGGTTTTTTTAGCATTCAATTGAAGATTATTAACTGTGAACCAAGATAACACTCTTGATATAATACCGACGTGAATACCACAGATGATTTTCTAAAATGTTTCCAGTGAACCGATTAATGAGCACGGTAATGGCGAGAGCGCATCAATATACAGTATCATCATTTTCTTTGCTTTCCCTCAATACAACCTCTTCACAAGATTCAAAATTGCTTTATTTTATACTAGCTGCCTCGACAAAATTTGTAGCGCTTTTAAGCATATTTTGTTTCCTTAGCGTGAAAGTTATTTACAGGATTTTCAACATGTACCTTATTCATATCGAGTCTCCGACATTTTGGAGCAGTTACAACTTCCATGATCATGAAGTAACTCTATAATATTCTTAATGAAAATTGCTTAAAAAATCCACTTTGTTCCTGGTACTCTGAGATGGGACTCAAACTCATGACCTTTCGCAATCCGGCTGACTGTTCTAACCACTGAGCTAACCAGGACCTAACAGGACTGACGAATTTTTCAAGCAATAGGGATGATGACTAATTTTTGTTTGTTTGTCCGTCAGGTAGAGTGTTAAAAGATATTAAACACGTTTTTTTTTTCGTAATCATAAAATTACGGCGTTACATGGAGTTGAAATTTCGTATGACGTCACGTTAGAGTACGTTTTCTACTCAACTATGACATAGCCCACTCCTCAACTTTAATGCCTGTGATCTAAGTTATTTCTTGTTAAATTGAAGTAAAAAAATACGTATCTAATATTTTTCTATTAATTAACTGACGG